GATGTGAACAATTTAAATATCTCAAGTTTGTTGTTCAAAGCAATGGTGATATAGATGGGGATGTTAATAGTAGAATTCGAGTTGGTTGGTTGAAGTGGAGGAGCATTTTGTGTGATAGAAAAGTATCGCTTAGACTGAAAGGAAAATTTTATAGGAGGGCAACGAGACCTGCAAAGCTCTATGGCGTTGAATGTTGGCCTTTAAAAGAGAAGCATGATACTAAGTTAAGTGTTGTCGAGATGAGAATGATTAGGTGGATGAGAGGTTTTACACTTAGAGACAATGCAAAATGAATATCTTCGTGATAAGGTTAGTGTAGCTCCAGTGACGAACAAAATTAGAGAGTCATCTTAAATGGTTTGGTCACATTAAACGTTGACCATTTGATGATCCAATTAGGAGAGTAGATGTTTTAGATTCGACTTATGCTAAGAAAAGCAGAGGTAGACCTAGGAGGGCTTGAGCTTATTGTATAAAAAATGATCTTAATTTATTAAAACTAAATGAAAATATGACACTAGATAGGATGCAATCGAGAAAAAGGATTCATGTAGCATACCCCAGTGGTGGGATTAAGGCCTTGTTGTTGTTGTTGTTGTTGTAATAAATCATTTTGAAATTTGATAATACATTTGACTATCGAAAATATTTCTTTATTGATAGTCGAATATTGTTCTAGAATGATATTTCACTTAGCAGATGTAAAGCGAACTAATTATTTAGTATTCAAAGTTTTTTACTTTAAGGCTCTGTCGTAGCCAAAATTAGAGACATATTTCTCCACTATTTTAGAAAGAGACGAATCTGTAATATGTAAACAAGATAACATTTTACTTTTTGCTCAATTAATTAGACAGGTTTAGCATGATTTTATGTACAAGAATTAAGTTATTATTTTTTAATTTATTATAAAAAATAATAGTATCTATAGCAAGGCCTTTATGATAATCCACTATATAAATGAGCTAACCTAGAAATCTCTGTAATTGACGGGGATCAGTAATTTCATCTGAAAATTTAGAAGTGAATTCTATATTTTTTTATGATAATCCGCTACATAATTGAGCTAACCCAGAAATCTCAGTCATTGACGGAGATCAGTAATTTCATCTGAAAATTTACAAGCGAATTATATGTTTTTTTATGATAATTCGCTACATAATTGAGCTAACCAAGAAATCTCTGTAATTGACGGAGATCAGTAATTTCATCTGAAAATTTAGAAGTGAATTTTATGTATTTTTCAATTAGAATAATTGTATTACAGACAATATTATTTTTCAAAAATCGTATTTCGATTTGAAATAATTTGATTTTTGACGTTGAAATTACCATACCATTATTTTTAACAAGTCATTGAAATGTCTGTAAATGTTTAAAATGTTCTTATATTGATTTAGAGAGAACAATAACATCATCAATGTAAACTAATATATAATCAAAAAATAGAGTAAAGATTTTATACATTTTTTTAAAATCCAAAAGGAAGATATTTTAATCTGATGGCGCAACATTCCATTCAGTGTCCAAACAAAACAGTGAAAGTCGTTTTATACATGCCAGACTCAATGATATGAACCTGCCAGCACCTAGATTTTAAATCAGATTTTGAAAAGACTAAAATTTTATCTAATCGATTAAGCAAATCACTTTTATTCGGTATGGGATACCAAATCCATTTCAATATTTCCTTTAAAGGTTTATAAATAATTACTAACTTGGTTTATTTATTCCCTTTTCTGCATTATTCATAACATAAAATGCAATACAGATCCAAGGTGAGCTGGATTTTCTAATTAAATTTTTATCAAAAAGTTTATTAATTTCTTATTTACAAATTAATTTATAAACTGCGTTACTATTTTCTTGATTAGGATTTTTCTATTATTGTGTGACTTAAAAATTCTTCTAGTTGTTCCTGGGTTAAATAATTATCGAATCAGCCTTTTAGAAGGCTAGTAAACCCACAAGTTAACTGGGTTATATTTGATGTGTTTGATTATTATGACTGAGCGATAGAGACATAAATCATCATTCGTTGTAATACAATTTATATCTGACGATCAGTCATATCATCTATATTTCATTCATAAATATTTGATGGATTATAATCATTTTGATATTTATTATCTTCTTCATATAAAACATCTGAACAGGTAGGTCAAGAATAGTAGTATCGACCCGTCTGCCGAGTTTGATATGAAGTTAAGACTATTGTCTTTTTAACTTATATAGCTTAAATAATTATAATTCTGAATTATTATCTTAAAATTGATCTTCAATGTTTTCAATTTTAATTTGTTTAAGTTTATCATTATCAGAATTTTCTGATTGATCAGTTATATGAACATTTTTATTTAAGATCATAATTATAGTATCTTTTATATTTTTAATTAATTCTTCAAAATCTTGAACAGATGATCCTAAGTGGAAGTTAGGATTGGGACGTGGTTGTATAGCATGAGCTGAATTTTGAGCTTTTAAAAATAAAATACGTTGATATATTTTATTTTCTAATTTCATTGAATGATTTGAGATCAAAGAAAGATTAGTATTTGTAAAACTTAATTGTTTAATTATACTAATAAATTTTTTTATAGCAGTAGTTTCTAGAATTTTTCTCAAAAGCATTTTACTCAAAATTTAGGTTTCTATTATCGAAGTCTAATAGTGTGGGAACAAATTGAGAATAAATAGATTCTACTATTTCTCTAGAATTAATCTTTCATTTTCTCGTTAACATGTTTAATTTATGTTCTATTTTTTTTGTTATTTGATTACTAAACCATTTTAAAAATAAAAGAAAATATTTCCCTTCATAGAATTTATTTTCATTTTCTTCAACATAAATTTCAGAATTTTTTCTTCTATCATCTTATGTAGCATAACTTTGATACCAATTTTTGAACGATTCGTATTTTAGTTGTAGATAATCATTGAAAAGAGCTTAAGATTATATCTTTTAGTTGATTCATTGATGATATGCCTTGGATAAAGTCTTACAACTGTTGAATTAATTGTGTCTTATTAGATACAAATGCTCTAATGACATTATTGGTTGACACAAATGTTATTGAAACCATATTGATAGTAAAATTTATTTCCAAAAATTCAGCTCCTTCCCTCCTAATACGCTTCTGTGATTTTATTCAAGGACCAATGAATAGGAGTGAAGATATTTATTACAATAAGTGAGAAATTAAAATAATATGGAAAATGCTTATAATATAGATGACTCAAAATTAATAAAATAATAAGTAAATGATACCCAGATGTAATATGTTTAAATATCATTGATCTATCATAAAAAAAATGAAAACATAGATATAGATATATTTTCTAAAATTAAAGCTGGATGTTTAAAAAAAAAGTGACTTAAAATGTTTTTGTGAAAAATGGATATCATGAAAATTGAAGGTACATTTATTGAACTATTATTATGCTAATAATTTTATACATACTTGAATATTGACCTATTAGAATTCATTGATATCTAAGTTAAGGACGACAAAAATAAGAATGTTAAGATAAATGTGTGATAAAGGTAGGAATGACTATAGATGATTATATTTGAGAAATTTTTTTTTGTTTGTCATAAACATAATTTTCACGAACTTTAAATTCACATATTTCAAACATTGAAGCTTTATTTTTTAAAGTAAAGACTTCATACATTTCTCACTCATATGGTTAAATTTGCAATGTCAAAGACCTGCATTAGCTTGTGTTGCAGTAACATCAATGAATTGTCATCTCATTGGTTAGGTAATGAGTGTCTTTAATATTACCTTGAACTATTACAATTGTTTCTTTGGTCACCTTCCATGAATCATCTGTGAAAGTAATCACGTACCCTGACTTTGACAACTGGTTCATCGAGATCAGATTTCTTTTCAAACCCGGAACACTTCTAACTTCACTGAGCTTCCAAAATGTTTCATTTAACAACTTGCTATCAACATTACTCTTTCATACAATACTACAAACCTTGCTATCTCTCAAATAAATATTTTTCTAAATCACTCTGAGTGTAATCTTTAAACATCTCTTTGTTGGGACATGCATGAAAAGTGATATGTGAAACTACCATCTAAAATTCAATACTGACTAGGGATAAAATCAAGGAGTCACTTTCACTTTTCATCGAATCTTCAGTAAAGAAACACCCCCTTTGATACCACTTGTGGGATGAAAACCAAAGCTTCGATCGATATTTACAATCAAAACCATACTGCTAAAAAATGATCACACCGATTCTAGAAATTCAGAATAATAATATCAAATGGAAACGCACAATAAAGAAATACCATAAAAACACACAAAGATTTAATGTAAAAAACCCAATAACGGAAAAAAATCACAGAGACGCACCATACTGAAAATTTTCATTATGAAAAAATAAATGTGTAGAAATTTACACCACTCATAACTTCTCTACTTTGCCAAAACTTACAACAATTTTGCCCCTTCCTATCTTGATCGCACAAGGGAAATCACGCGCTAAAATCCAGCTCTCAACACATCACACCTTCTATGCACCGTTGAAAGAGAACCTAGACTGTCGCAAGAGAGATAATACTTCGTCGCTCTTAATCGAGGGCTTAAAATTGAAATGGGAGACAAACCGCACCTGTTGTTGGTGCATCGCTCCTCAGCATAATTAAGCCACCCACTCTGTTCCGAAGCCTAGAATTGAAGGAATCGCGACCTAGGTATGCCACTACTTAGAGTAAATATGTAGTCCGATTTAGCTATGTCCGATAATGGTGTGGCTATCTAGTCTTGTGACACAAAAGAACTAGAATCCATCAAATTGGAGTCGGATTGCTTCTTCCTCTGTTGCTACTGCTAGGTCCTTCCTGGTATAAATCCACATCTCACACAGCCTAACAAAAATACTTTAAAAATGAACAATTAAATGTTCTTTTTAACATATTTCACATTGTAATTACTGTGATCAGCATACAAGGAAAATTAAGAAAAAGAGAAAAGAATGAAACCTGGATCTTTCTCTGATGGCTTTAGAATGAAGGTATTACCACATGTAACAGCCATAGGGAACATCTGCAAGAACTGACTACATTAGAGACCAATACATCAAACCCCATAAACAAAATTCAAAGTTATTTCTATATTTGTCTCTGCAAAATGAGGAATCATAACCAGCTGGCAATTTTGGTAAACAATTCAGAAAGAAATTTTAGATACGCCAAACAGAAGATCAGGTTCAGTTATATCACACACTTGTAAAAGGCAAGAGACATTTAAGTAAAGAAGATTATATCAGAATTGAGGTAGGCATACCCACAAAGGAATCATTGCAGGAAAATTGAATGGGCAAATCCCTGCACAAACACCAAGAGGTTCCCTAATACTGTATGTATCAATGCCATTGGAAACATTTGAAACATATTCACCCATTTGAAGAGTAGCCATTCCACAGGCATGCTCCACCACCTCTGCATCATATCAATCATGATACTACTGATGCATCAATTATAATGATAAAACAATCCAAACCTCTACCAAAAATTTTCCAGCTCAAAAGGTTACAACTCAAATTTTTAAGGGGGAAAAAAACTAACCTAGACCACGAAAGACATCGCCCTGAGCATCACGCAAAGTCTTTCCCTGCTCCGTGGTAATATTCAAGGCAAGCTTATCCTGCAGAAAGCACGCACAAGATTCAAACTCATATCTAAAGATTCACATTAATTGGTTCAATTATAGCATCACGCAAGTAGCATTCCCAACCATATCCCTCCGGATGAGCTCTTGGAGCTTGAACATGACCCGCTGCCGCGCCGTGATAGGAGTATTCCTCCATTTTGGATAAGCATTCTTTGCAGCACGAACCGCAGCCCTGAACTCTTCATCCGTAGTCAGAGGAATCTTAGAAACAACCTCTTGCGTTGCCTGCGACCGCCAGACAAAGAAAAATTTTAAGAAAAATATTGAAAATCCGATAAAGAAAATGGCAAAAGTAATCATACCGGATTCACAACGTCTATGGATTCCACCGATCGCGATTCAACAAACTCTCCTCCGATGAGATTCCTAACTATTGGCTGACAACCAAAAAACAAAATTACTAATTCGGATTCCAAATAAAAAAAAATGCTCAGCTAAATCAATCGAGGAAAGAAATAGTTATCCTACCGGAGGATTTCGGTAGATCGGCTCCGCCGCCGTGGAGAGAAATCGAGCTGTGGCACATACAAAATAGGTTACGGAGGGTTTCAAAGAGAGAGAGATGGAAAAGGGGACGGGCGATGCATACCGCTCCGGCGAATTGAAAAGCGGAGCATACTCGACGGTGACAAATTGGAAGTGCGGCAGCGACGCGACGAGAGTGAGGCTTTGTGGTGCTGTCCGTCTGTCCGTGCCCGGAGAAAATATTAACTCAGCGACAGTTGCCTCCAATTAACGAAACGCACGTGGAATTCCGGATAAATAAAGGCTGCATCAATTTCGGGACAGCTTTCATAAAATCATTTTGTACTCGATGAATTCTCCACATATTAACCCAATTTCGGACTCATGCAGCTAGGTTTTTCAGAAGCAATATTTCTTTAGGTTTTTGTATTTAGTTTTGAAAACTTCTTCCATTATACATATATCTTAAATTTTATTATTTTTATATAATCTATTAATAAATATAAGTTATGACATATAAATAATTTTTTTTTATAACAAACTAATAATACACGAATAATATACCAATAACACATTAATAACACATAATAACACGTAATAACACATTAATGACATATAATAACACGCATAATAACACAATTATACACTTCTCTAGTCTGTGGTATAACACGTGGGGAAGTATGTGTTCTTATGTGTCATTATGTGTTATTAGTATGTTATTGGTGTATTATTAGTTTGTTGTTAGTGTGTTATAGAACAAAAATAATTTATTTAGAGGTCATAACTTATATTTATTAATAACTTATATAAGAATAATAAATTTTAGGACAGATGCATAATTGAGAAGTCCATCAAAACCAAACACAAACCCGAAGAAATATTTCTTCAAAAAACCCTAGTTGCATGCGGCCGGAGTAGCGAAATGTTTCTTCAGCTGGCAATAGAACAATAGTGACTCCATCGAGTGCGGAATAATTTTATGAAAGCAAGGAGAAATTGATTGGGTTGTGTTGCGGTCTGAGTCGCACGCGAAGTTCTATTTATTTCTCTATTTTCATCTGTGAGGCTGAGATTCCACGTGACTTCTGTTGATTAGACTCCGCAGGAAGCTGTCCCTGCAAAGTCCTAAGTTAATATTTTCTCATGTGCCCGACACAGACAAGAGAGATTGGTTGACGTGGCTTTGTGATTTATGTCTAATCAATCACACCAAGTTGTTGAGCGTAGGACAGAATGTGTGACAAATATGATAGTAGAGTTTTGATGGGGTTAATTTAATAGTGATTAAGTGTAGAAATGGTCGAGGTTTAGATTTGAAGTAGAATGAGTCAAAAAAGAGATTCAAAGTTAAATGGATGAACCATAATTTGACCCAAAATTGAACAGAGATTGAACTGAAGGATGAACCGGGTGACGTTATAAATATAAAACATTATTAAAAAATAAAATTTAAAATATGAACTTAATAAGATCGTAATATGTGCAGTATGAAATATAAATCATTTCTTAGCTTAAATAACTCATTTAAATGACTAACATTTTATTTTATATTAAAGGTCACTCAATCAATATGAATAAAAGTGCTTATAATTGAAACAACAATAAATCAACAAGGTTGATACACTATTAGTGCATGAAAACAAACAGTCAAGTATTATACTCTAAAAAATGTCTCTCAAGAAGCTCTAACAAAATAAAATAGAGATCAAAGTTCCAAATTATGTCTCAAAAAGCAAAAAAAAAAAAAAAAAAAAAAAAAAAAACCAAAATAAATTCGATATCAAGCATATTTATGGTGCTTCCTCGAATGTTGCATCTTCAAAAGTCGTGTTCCTAAAGTTTGTCTCCCCAAAAGCTTCTAAGTCCACGTGTTCAACTATCTCGTTTGCTATCAACAAATTTGCATGCATCCATAAATCAAATTTATAGAATTATAGTTTTCATCAAAATGAACAAATTAAATATAATTAAAAACTTATCATTTTTTTTTGTCTTTTTTTTTATTTGGCTCTTGAGAAATGGGAAATGCATCATAATTATAAATTTCATTTTCCAGATCATCATAAGTAAGTTTAGGAGTACATTCATCTTCAATAATCCAAAAATCTATAGCTTCAATGTTCATGTAATCCAATGAGTCATAATTTCTTTTTCTGGAGATCAACCTATACATTAATATCATAAATTATATTCACCGCTAAAAATAATAGAATACAAATAATATATATATATATATATATTAGTAAGCATGCTTATTCTTCAAATTAAGATTGTGTCGAACATATACTAAATCATTCAGTCTTTGATTGTTTAAATGATTTCTTTGATTTGTATGAATTTGCTGAAAAGCACTCAAGTTTCTTTCACATCCAGATGAAGAAGACGTTTGGCGAAGAACATGAATAGCAAACTTTTGTAAATTTGAAGCACTAGAACTAGACATCACCCACCAATCTTCTGTCAAATATTAATTATGATTAACTTTAAGAAGATGCATAATTAAAAATATATATCATCCAATGAAAATTTAGAAATAAATTTTGCTAATAACTATTAATATATGAGAACTTACCGGGTTGCATTTCTTTTGTAATAGAGCAATTTGTTTCCCAAAACTTTCTAATTTATCTCAAAAAAGCCTACCCTCATTCATCACAAATGCAAAATTTGCACAGACTTCCTTGTTTCTAATACTTTCAACTAAAGCTTGCATTACTTCTAGTTTTTCACAATAATTTGCAAAATCATATTACAATTGTATAATAAAAAAATATAATGTAGAGTAATTTCCTTAATGAAGTTGACTATCTCATCTCCTCTTATGGATGCATGTGTATGGCTTGTAAACCTTTTTACATTTTGTAATATGTTTTTTATTGTTATTTTGGATTTATACATTCCATCATAAACATACCCAAGTGATGGCTTCTCATTTGCATCAACTATTTGTAATAACTTTATAAGCGGTGCTGATATTTTTGACATAATTAGGCAACCATTCCAGAAATTGTTGTCCAACATAATAGAGCATGCAACTTTTCTTTTAGTTGATTTTGTCAATTTTGATTGCGTGTAATACTTGATGTAATTGTTGTGGATAAGTACTTGAAGATATTCCAAGATCTGCGCCCACTATTATTTTTAGAGAAATGAAGATTCGATTGAAACAGAGAATCGATTGATGTGAATTGAGAAGATATTCAATATTATGACCTGTCTGGATGAAAGAAGAGTGTCATTAGCTACATTTGTGTTTGATGGAGAAGCTGAAAGGTGGCGTGGGCAATGTCAGGACAAGCGCGTGACATACCCTATACGATGGTCAGTTGGGAAGAAGTCATGGAGCTATTTAGAGAGTGGTTTGAACCTCTATATACTCGAAGACAAATACATGACACGTTTATCAGATTGGTTAGGGAGAAAAAATAATCATATAATACAAAGCAAAATTCACTGCACTATCAACATATGTGCCACCGTTGCTCTCTATTGTAGAAGCAAAATGCTACAGATTCATTTCAGGATTAAAAAAATTTCAATCAAACAACCACTTGTGCCTTTGGGGATCAATTAATATTTAATATCAGTGGAATGAGCTAGAAGAGTAGAAATTCATTGTCAACTTACTTAGAAGTGTGAGAATATCACACACTAGAGGAAGAGTAGTGACGAAGGAGAATATTGTAAATCAATAAGAAAGATACAATGAAAAGACATTCAAGTTTAATTCGAGTAAATTTAGTAGAGGTATGACTCAAAGTAATGCAGTCACTTGTGCTAAATGTGGAAAATAACATAAAGGTAAATGTTTGATGGGCTCTAACACATGATATTTTTGTCGTCATTTTTATCTTATAACAAGATATTGTCTATTTCTGACCAAAAGAGCATGGAATATAAGAAATCAAGTGGAGCTCCTTCACATAAAACTATAAGTGGGTAGAAATGGATCAAATCTATAGCTTCAACTCCCACACAAGTTCAACCAGGACGATCTGTTCGACCTCAACTTTATTCCCTTACTCATAGTGAGCTTGAAGAACCTACTGTTGCTAATGGTGATAAGATCTGATGAGTTTGGCATTTTCTCAACATATTTTCCATGTGTTGGACTATTTTCTTGGTTTTTGTTGTTGAAGGGAGGATAGTTGAGCCTGATTGTATCAGGTCTTCACCTTACAACAATTTTTTTTTAATCTTGGTGAATGAACCCTAGTTCTTATCATAAAATTTATGGATAGTTTATGTTGACCTACTTGACGACTCATATTTTTTTTATAAATTTTAAGGATGAAATTTTTGTAGGCGGGAAAGGTTGTGAAATCCAATTTCAAATACACGAGAATCAAAGTGGAGTGAGGCAGCGAGGAGTTAGGAAATCGAAGAGGGGGGAAATGGATGAACTCACTCTATAAATAGTCGCAGTCGACTTACTAGTAGAGTGGAACAATGTGTACGAAGCAGACGAGGATGCTAATGGAGGAGGTGTTATCAAGTAGAGGTGTGACTGTAGGGCTTTTGTCCAGTCGAAAACGGATACATCAATTGGCCTAGACAATATACGAGTCTAGGGCTCGACGAAGGTGACAAAGCAGCAAGTGCGAAGGTTTAGCGAGGTGATGTGAGAAAGGGGATGCATGCAGGATAGCCAAAGCCTTAGTTGTTTGCATTTAGGAGTTTGATCAAAGGAAGACGACGTGCATGTTGGAAGGAGGCGGGTCCCGCATGTGGAGATGAGATAATTAGTTTTTTTGCATGGATTAGGGCTCGGTCGAGAGATTATAAAAGCACGTTTTAGTAACTTTAATTAAAATATTTTAAAAAAATTTCATACATATAATTTGAATTATATATATATATATATATATAAACTTAAATAATATAAATTGTAGTTTATTAAAATGATGAATTAATTAAATTTTAGACCCATGTTTATTGTAAGCTTAAATTTTAGAAGGGTCTTGGTTAAAACAAATTCAAGAACAAAGTAATCGTTATCCAAATGAGTACGCTTACTCTTAATATGACTTATAGTATTATTTTCTCTTCTCAATCACTTGCATTAATACTTATTGATATTTATAAAATTCTTGTATTAGCTTATCCATATTTATATAATCTTCTTTTTCTTAGTCATATATATATATATGTTATGCTCATTTTAGTAAGAAGTATAAAATGTTATTTAATGATTCTTATATATTATATTATATGTCATAATGATATATATACACTTGCATATGTATACTTGGCTATGATGAAATCACCTTTTTATGATACTAGCAGGGGAACACCAATATATCTGTGCACGTAAATGAAAAAATTTATTGATATTAAAGTTTCTTAATAAGTACAATTTCTAGACTGTGCTTATATGACGGTTGTATGGATATAAAATGATATAAATATGTTATTGGTATAATAAAACCCATTGAATAACACGAAAAATCATAAATAATCATATCAATTATTTTATAATGATTTATTAAGAGCTTAACTGACATGCATATTATTATTTTTTCATTGTATTACTATAATTTAGAAGTGCGAGTATTCACTGGCTTTAATTAGCTCTAAGTTTAGTATTTAATTTATTAAATGATAAGAAACGAAAGAAAACATGCTTACAAAAGAAGCAGACAACCTGTAATGTAGTAAATTTAATTGCACTATTTTTATTTGATTTCTTTAAAAACTCTTTCATTTGCGAATAATTAGTTATGAAAAATGAATGTAAAAAATTTAATTCCTGCCATAAGACCCTCTGTAGTTGCCTTGTTAACATATAATGACTAAGTGAGAGTTTAAAAGAGTTCAAACATTAGGCTTTAATCAGGTTCATTATTTACAAGTTTTAGATTAGGGATCTAGAGCACTACATAATAAACAAAAAAAAATAAAATAAAAAAGTTTAATGAAATATAAAAGGCCTATGGCTCATGTACAAACTCAAGCTAATAGGGGACCTGTGGTTCTTTTAGCATGGACCCATTGGTCTTATGGTTGTAGTAGGCCAATCTAGTTTGTTATATCTATTGGGTTCAATATGACATCCAAATTCTCATTCTAATAAAATAAGTATTTTATTTATGGATGTAAAAATAAATTTTATTGTTATAGAATGGTGAAAAAGGATAAGCTGGATGGTTGAATTATAAAAAGGAGAATTCAAATATGTGAATATATAAGAAATATGTGGTGTGTATCTAAATTTGCCTAAATTATCATATTCCTGAAGTCGTGTTACAGTGGCTCCGGACGTAGAGGTACGTCCGGAGTTCAATAAAATCACGCCACGTGAAGGTAACATAAAAATTAAAAAAAATTATTTTACCACAACAAAATTATTACCCATGTTATTTCACGTTATTTAGGGTGTTATTATAGTTGTATTCATATATTATTGTATTTGAGAATATTCTTGATGATATAATTACATAATAACACATCAATATCACAATAATAACACTTGAATAATACGGATAAAGGTGTAAACAAACTGAACACGAATGAACAGAGCTTGTTTGAAATTTAGTTTGTTTGAAATAAACTCGTGTTTGAAATTGTTCGTGAAGTCATTGTTTGTGTTCGTTTCTTAACGAATGACCCGAACACGAGCAGTTCGCGAACGACGAGCCAGTGTCACATCCCTAATATTAATATATATAAATAATATATCATATTAATTATATAACTTATATTATATAAATATATAATATCTATATAAGTATATTACTAATATTGATATATTATTATTATTAATTTATTATATATTATAATTTATTAAATTCAATTTTTTAAATATCATAAATATTTTATATATAATTATTTTAAATTATTTTATATTTCGATAAGGATTCGAACACGAACGAACACATCACTGTTGGTGTTTGGTTCGTTTAACTAACCGAACGAAAAAAATTTATTCACGTTCGTCTCGTTTATTTATCGAACAAATCGAACACGAACTCATTGACGAACCGAACACGAACTATTCGTGAGCAATAAATTTTTCTTAGAGCCCTAAATACGGAAAAACATAGAGAAATTTTTGTTTATGCTAAAATGATTTTTTTTTTAATTTTTTCATCACCTGAATTTGAATTTATTTGACTCCGAATATGCCTGAGTCCGAAAGTAATAATTTTTCGGGCCGCATTATCATCTTTACCGCAATCTACGACGCTGTTCGCTTTGCCCTTCCCTCCACGAGGAAAGAAAGCACAAATAAAGCAGCATCGAAGAGATGCGAGAAGATGACTGCGCTCGCGCTCTCACGCACCCCAGTCCTCTTCATCTCTGGCGAACCCCGCCGTCGATTCGCCGCCCACTTCTCTCGTAGGAGTCAGAAAATCGCCGCCCTCAGACGTACTTCGATCCCCCGGCACTTGGCAGGGTTATCGAATGGGAGGAAGCCGAGGCGACGGGATAGAGGGGGAGGGGTTTGGACGGAGGAGGAGTTGAATGGGAGCTATGATTTGGAGGCGGAGATCTATGAATTCATGCAGAGGTCGGCGAATCCGTTGGATTTCCCGAGTAGAGATGATCTGATAGCTGCTGGGAGGGGGGATTTGGCGAGAGCCATCGAGAAGGAAGGGGGTTGGCTTGCCTATGGCTGGGAATCGGATGCGGAAGAAGAGGAGGGGACTGTCAGTAAGGTTACGGATTTGGCCGGAGAGAGGCCGTGTGAAGATTATTCGAGAGTATTTCAGAATAGGATGACTTCAGTCAATGGTGAAGCTAAAGCTTGCTTGAAAACTGATTCTGAGAATTCTTCTGGTGCTTCTACGTCTGGGAGGCCAATGTAACTCGTTGTTTTGGTTGTTTTTTCCTCCAGTTCTTTTCCCCGCTCTTGCGTATAGTTCTTGTTTGATTTATAAATTTTGGTTTTTAAGGAGCACTGCAGTTCCGCAGGATTCTGGAATCGAGGGTATATTGTGTCGTCTTGAGAAAGAACGGAGTTTAGCTTTTGGTTTTGTCTCTTCAAAGGAGAAAGAGGTGATGGTTAAGAAGGAAGAGAGCCAGTCCATGCAAAAATTACAGTCCATGAGGGCTGTAAGGCATGGATTTGGAAATGTGGGTGAGTTTGTTCGGCCATTTTTAGAGCTGTTTTTCATCTTATGTTTTCTTGTTTAGAACTGTTCGGTTAAATCGAACGCTTTCATGTAAATCACTTCTTGTATTTGGTTCAGAGCTAGGTTGGTTAAGTAAACTTCAATTTTCATTTTCTTCACAAATCTACTGTAAAACTTTTTAATAAAAGTTCATTTTATATAATAATACCTTAAAGTCAGTGAATATATATTTTTAGAGCAAAGTGAGTGCTCAAACCCAAACCCTTGAGATTTTTCACTTTCTTTCCAACTAGTGTGATATACGTTTGATCACAAGTGAATATTATTATTATAATTATTGTTTCAGGATTATTTGCATATATTCTTAATTTTTTTAACCTTTTTTTATTTTCAAAATAATTTAAAATTGGCTATGTTTTAGATGTGACTTTTGCTAAGAATGGTAGAGAGAAACCCGGCATGTTTTATAAAAATTAAATGAAATTATGACACTGAATAGGACACAATGGAGAAAATGATTCATGTAGCCGACCTCACTCAGTGAGTCAAAGGCTTGTTGTTGTTGCTGTAGGTTTATGAAAACATTGTTTGCTTTATCACATTCTCAATCTATTAATCTTGATTTGTATCTCATAGAAATAAATGACTCTGTTCAATTTCCACATAATATCTCTGACATGTCTACCGAAAACAAAAAAAAACTCAAGTGAAAATTGAACAAAACTAAATAATATGAAAAATGAGTTTGAGGTTTCTTGGTTTAAATTGTATTTATAATGCTATTTGTGGTTGATTTTGGAGTCGTTTGGTTATTTCATTCCATATTTTGTATTTTTGTTTCTTCTGACTTGGATTCATTTACTCCATTTAGATTCTGTAGTGGATGAATTGATATCTTTTGTACAAACGTATGCCATCTCTTTGTTAATTTACTGATTGGTTCTCTTTATTACATCTCACCTTATTGCATGTCACAATTCATTTTGACCCCTTCTCAATCAAGCATGAGATATTACGAAGGCTGATAATACAATCAAATACATTTCTCATTAACATCTATCTTAACCTCATTAAACAGGATTGAGTGATTACGAAAATAATCCATCTGGATCACTATATCATTTGACCGCCCTTTTATAATCATTCAAATAACTTTCATAATCATTAATACAGAAGTTTGTATTATTCAAATCATTAAAATTGACTGCAATGTTTCTAAAAAAAATTTTTAAAAAAATTATACGGAGCAAAAATCTTCAATTTATGCCTTGTGCATCTTTCCTTGTATTATACGTTTAATATTGTACATCAAAACTACGATGAATGCCAAAATAAGGTCACCTGACTATGACCTCACTTGCATTTTTTTGCATGAAGTAATAGTTAACGAAATATCTGATGAGTTAAAAATTTAGGGGGAAATAGTTTTAATATATGATTCAAAATACAAGAAAAAAAACTAATAATATCTTAATTTTTTGAACGAACATGAGCATTATTTATTATTGATATAATTAGCATAGTATAATAAATTTATATTAAAATATATTTTCATATTTAGTGGAGTAAATATGGAATTATAAATAGTAAGAATAAATAATTGATAGGAATAACGAGAAGCAATTCCTAACTTTATTGGGGCTTAGGATCAATTAGAAACTAAACCACACCACATAATAACAAGATCACATAAAATCAAGATAAATTGGAACAAAATCTAAGGAAGCACAATCAAAGCAAATTAGAGAAAAACACGAGAATTTAATGTGGAAAAACCGATAATGACAAAAAAAAACATAGAGCCACATCACCAAGAAATTTTACTTTGAAATTCAGAAAGTTTTAACAGAGAACTCACACCCTCTTTACACACAAGGAAAATTATGGGACTCGCTCCACACTCTTCCTTCAGATCGTTACGAGAAACGCCCTTAGAAATCGCAGAAGTCCTCCTCTCAGATACTTTTAACCTTCACCGGGATTTCTGTCGAAGAACACTCAATTTGCAGGAACTTCACGCCTACCATCCACCGCTTTAATTCATAACTTAAAGCCCAAAAAATCAAAGTAACTGCACCGGACGTAAAAACACCCGGGCTTGGGCTAAAAAACACCCGTCTCTTGGGGAAGAAAGGATCACACACAACACTTTTGGGCGCTGGAGCGCTCAAGGTGGCGCTCGAGTGCGGGCTTCACAATTAGCACCCCAAAGTTGCACCTTGGGCGCCAAAGGGGGCGCAAAAGCGGTCCCCTCTCTGTTGAGAGCCCAAAATTGGGCGCTTAGGCTCCCAAAGAGGGCACAAAAGCGCTCTCCTCTCTGTTGAACGCGTGCTGGTGCTTCAAATCAGGCTCCACGCCTAACAATAATTGCAAGAAAATAGTTATGTACGAGGTCCAGGCTTAATTTAATATGATTATTATCAACCTCCCCTCAATTCTTGGATTGTGTGACAAAGTTTCCAGTATTGAGGGTTGAAAATTTCTTTTGGCATCTATTGATGTTTATTTCGTTAGAATTTTTGCTTCTCCTAGTTTATGTGATCGGAATTTGCCAACCTACTCATATCACATGACGTTTCATGAATTTATTTTCTTATCAACATCTTCTTCACAAGATTTTTAAATTTCGTAACATTAATAGCTTGCTTGTCAATAACGACTAACAAACAACACGAAATGCCCATGGAACCATAATGTATATAGTGCATCGATGCATGTTGTTTTTAATATAGCTCGAAATTTTGAAAATTATAAATAAGAAGGTAGCTAAATAAATAAATAAAAAACTATCGGATGAAAAGACAAAACATCACGATAAATGAAATTAATTAAATTAATGCTTAGGTTCAAGTAATCATCATCTCAACCATTAGATTAAATTGTGACAAGTAAGAAAAGGTTTAATAAACCTGTTTGAAATCAACATTTCAAAGCTATTAGTAAATTTGATAATTGCATGCTGAACATCAAATTGCATTATTTATTCTCTTAATGTCTTAAGAAGCTTCAAATTTGTTTAAAAACTTGATGCCTATTAGATCATGTAATACTTGTCTTCTTAAAATTGCTCAATATAAAATGCGTCTTGAGGCCCACCTCAGTGCTTTTTATAAAAAATTACAATGAGGCATATACCTCAATATCCCATTGTGAGGCGTACACCTCACGTAGGCTAAGGTGAGCATTCTCTCAAAAACACCTCAAAATATTGAAGTTATTTGCAATTTTTTTTAACAAAAAATAGAAACAATATCAATATATCTCATCTATTATCTTTCAAATCTTATGTATTATATAACAAGAAAAAAAGAAAAAATATCCATAAAAATTATGTTGCCGACGCTCTAAATTCTAACATAATTATTATTTTAATTAATGTTTTTATCGATGAGTATTCATTAAAACGAAAATAATAACTAAGATTAAAGATAATGAGAAATGAAGAATATATGTACGACTAAGGATAAAATAGTATATAAATAATTAATTATGCTAATGATACTAAAGAAGATCAATTAGGTGCTACTAGTAATTAGGATTTTTTAATTTAAAAATTTAAATGTTTATAACTTGTTATATTCTTGTTTAAGTGGGTGTAGCTTGTGTGGGAGAAAAAAATTTATCTTAAACTTATTTTGATTGTTATCTTTTGCTGCTTTAATATTTTATTTTAATATTTAGCTCATTGTAATAATGTAATGTTTGTATAACTTAGTTTATTTTATAATTTGATGTTGCGATATTAACATGTTACATTTCATTTTATGCAATTTATTATTTTTAATTTTACTTAGCTAGAATATTATCATATTATTTTTTAATTTATTAATAAGTTAGAATATTAATATGTTATTTTCTATTTCATATTTTATAGTATATAAAATATCTATTTATTTAATATTTTTTTAATTTTGAGACTCACCTCTCGTCTCATGAATGAAAAATGTCTCAACAACCAATTGCAAAATTTAAATATTAAGTTAATATCCTATTTTAGAGAAAATAATATTGAATTTATTATTATTATTCCTTTATGAATTAGAAGAGAAACATAAATAATACTTTCTATATGAATTTACAATTGAATTAATGAAGTCAATGATTTATGAAGAAATAAGCCGACGAAATTCGAAGAGATGTGCAGTTTGTGGTAAGAGATAGGGTGCGTCTGAAGCTTCAACTCTATTGACAAAAGACATTGGCAAGGCACACGAATGAGAAGCTTTCCCTATGCTATTTTGGTTTTTATGAGATAATTGAGCGCATTGTGGCGGCAGTTTATCATTTAAAATTGTCGCCTTTGTGGACGCTTCATCCAATGTTCCACATATCGCAGCTGAGATGTGCTATTGGTGATAATATACTCTCATCTTCACTTCCCCCTACTTTTAATTAGGATATAAAAGCTCTCTTGGAGCCACTAAAGTTAAAAGGGGTGCATCAAGAATCAATAGGTGAGAAAGAAGTGTTGATTAAATGGAAATGACTGCGAGATTATTACCCCAGGTCGGAACCATAAGACTTGATCCAACAACAATTTTCTCTCTTTCATCTTGCGGACAAGGTGTCTTATTTGGATGTGAATAATGTTAGATTGGCGCCTACAATGCTTTCTGCCTCATGATCCTTTGAGTCAATTGGTCCCGTTGAATCCACGTCGAGCCTGCTAAATAATTTGAAAACCTGTTTTAGGCTCAAGACTAAAAGGGCTATCTAGTCATTTCTTAGTTTTTATTTTTTGGTATAAATACGGCTTCATATGATTTGGGTTAGATACGTGATTGTTGTCTCTAATTTTAGGAGTTGGAGTTTGGGAGATAATTGTTAACCTCTCGAATTATAGGTTTATCTTTTCCATATATTGGATTGTGTTGTTTTGTGCTGGTGGAGTAAAATATTTTATTTTTCCATAATCTTTATGGAAACTTGTCTATTTCCTATTAGATGCCCTGCTATTTGCCTGCTTGCTTTTTTTCTTTCTATCTCTCAATATGGGTCAGCTGGA